CCATGTCATTCTTCATTAGTCATTTCATCTTCAAGACGCGAATGAGTTGAATCACGATTTAATTTAGTTCTCATTTCGAATGTTGTCGCATAAATTCTTCAAATACATACAAGTCCGTAAACGTGGTGTTGTTGCCACTTGATTCATAAAATATATGAGCATGTTCAAACATTTCTGCTATGCGTGCCTATAACAAAGAATCCTTTGGATTCTTGTCACATTTTTTTTTTCTTCGCTAACGAAGCACCAAACTGTTATTAGAGAAAGATCTTCCGCCATGCTCCAACTAACATTCTTTGTTCCCTTTCGAGAATTTGTGCATGTCTGTCGCACATTTGTAAATATATTTTGAGAGGGTTTTGTGAGTTTTGGGCATCTCCATAAGTAGAAAATTGAGTAAGATTCAATGAAATTGACTCGTGTGAATAATATTTGAAATTTGAAAAATTTTAGAGTTCGACAAATTTTGATAATTGATGTAATATTCAAAATTTGAATTCATATGGTATTTGTTGAAAATTATAAACATAAAAAAGAGATTATAAAATTAGTAAGATGGGATTAGGAAATAGAGAAAAGAGACAAAATTCAATTGTGTTAAAAGCAAGGTTTTGAAAACTGAACCGGTGAAGTTACTGGGTTAATGTATCACAGGTCGGACTTGTGGTCGAACCGTTTAAATAATATATAATTTTAATTTATTTAATATGTATAATATAATTGTATATATTTTTATTATTTTAATAGTGTATAATGACTTTTTTTGAAATAAATAAAGCAAAAAAATAAATAAAAAATCGTGTATATTCTAATTATTTTAGTTAGTATGTATGATTCCAAGATTAAGTTTATAATCAATATATATTTTCCCCCCACATAATTAAAATTAGATTTATTTACATTATATATATATATATATATATATATATATATATATATATATGTTTGTTGGGATCTATGAGGATCTCGTTATGCACAAATCACGAATGCAATAGCAAAACGTAAATATATGCGCAGCAGATCTAAAAGTTTGCGTAGAGAACTTACAGCTTAAAATTTATGGCGATCTGGCTGATCTTCTGGATGACCGTACAAAGCAGACCAATGAATAGTTGACTGCAAATCGCATCCTGGGGTTGCACGAATGTTTGTCCCATTTTTGTTGTGTTTTTTGTTGTTTTTTTCCCCCGTATTGAGTCGTTTAGGTGGTTTTAGGATCTTTTCGGCATTTATTATGTGTTTTGCGTTCATTTGAGTGTTGCGGTGTTTTCCGTTTGTTTTCCGGTCTTTTTCTGTTCTCTTTTCGTTTTTGGTGTGTAGTTTGGAGACCTCGGGAGAACAGGTTTTCGAGAATCGTTTGGGGAAGCTGACACCATTAGAAAGAGGGGCTCAATAGCGACGCATAGGAAAAAATGGAATTGAATTCTGATACCAGACGAGCCCGAACGAGCCCAAACCGTGAAGTCATGCAAAGCTGTCGGGGGCCTTAGCGCCGCTAAGGCCTGTGTGGTTAGCGGGGTTTTGGCAGCTAAGCCGGATAGAGAAAACTAGCTAAGAAGGCTTAGCGCCGCTAACCCCTTAGCGGCACTAAGGCCTGTTTTGTAACTAACGCGATTTTCGTGGATCTTGAATGGGGAAATGATATTAGATCGAGGGAGGGCGTTTTTACTCATCTTTGAACATTGTTTTTTGTCCTTTTTGACAGGAAGAACATAATTTCATTTGGGTTTTACTTAGGTTTGATTTTGGAGAGTGAAAAACTCCCTTTATATTTTGGATTTGGATTGCTATCAGGATTTTAACATTGAATTTCGTATTAATCGTAAGCTCTCTTTTGACTTTCATTGATGAATGTTATGGCTTTCTTTGATGAGAATATGAATGTTGAGTTTATGATGAGTAGCTAAATCCTTGTGCTAGGGATGGGGGATTGATGTTTCGATTTCGTTTGTGATTGTGGGTGTTAGTTGATTGTTCATCTTATGCGAGTTAATCTTGAATTAGGGGTTTTCAATTATTATTTTGGATTTTGAGAATTGTTGAAGGGTGACACTTCAACTTGCAATTGTTTCAATTGAATTTGATAAATTTGTGTTTGATGTTGTTAATTCTAAACGAACTAGTTGATTAATCATCTTCTAGTCTAAGTTAATCGACTCTTAGAACTGAAAGGGGAGGAGTCGGTCGAAATAGGCTCGCATAAGCTAGACTTGTTCGTAACTGTATTGCCTAGGAGTTAAATGACTTGTTAATTTGCCGTTCTAGTTTGTTCTCTTGTTACGAAAAGTTATTGAGAATGAGTATAATGCAAGCGTAAGCGTCCTGGTCCGGTTGGGAGTAGATCGGTTCTAGTCCTCGTCGGTAGAACGCCGGAAACCTGCAAATAACTCTCACACCGGGGGTTGTGTCCGGTGAAGAGCCTCCGATGCTTAAGTCAGTATGTGTATGAGTATACTGGAGTTGAGTAATGAATATAATGTGTTAAGGGAGAAAGGCTCACCACCTTTATATAGGTGTGAGATACCTGCCCTAATAGCTGCCCGGATAAGGATGAGCTGGCTGCCCAAGATGCCCGTCCGTACTCTGACACGCCGCGCACATGTCAGAGGTGGCGCGTGGCATTGGGAGCTATCAGAGGTGGTTATCGCTATCACCCAATACATTGTCGACACGTGTCCCCCCTGCACATGGGGTAAATATTCTCGTGAGATTCAGTTAGAGGCTCTTACGCGCGCCCGTGATACACGCGCCCATGACTAGGCCGACTGTTGGTTCCTCGAAGCGATCGACCTGTTGAGGTTGAATAGGTTGCCCGATCATGTATCTGGTCGAGCGATCGGTTGCTCGATCGCTTGTCTGGTCGTGCGATGGACTGGTCGACCACCTGCCTGGTCGACTATCTGAATGATCGATCCTCCCGCTTCTTGTATTGGCTTCCTCCTAGTTCGATCTTCTCAACCGGCTGAGTAGACCGGTTTATCCTTGAGTATATAATATCCCATATCATCTAGTCCCCCCCACTCTGGTCGAGTCTGAATTACTCGATCTAAGAGTGAATTCGTATCTATCGACCTTCTGGATGGCTCGTCGTCAGATATCGACCAGCTGGTAAGTTTCCCGCTCATGTTTTCAAATAATTTCCCCTTAATCACTAGAAATAAAGTTGTCCTTTCTGTCGCGCCTGCTTGTCTGCCATGCGTCACATCGGCCGTATGTGTCAGGCGCTTTAATGATGACACCTCTTCGCATAACGCGCCCGCCTTGAGTGCCGTGCAAATTAATGCTTCTCACCGTGCGATCTGGCTTTAATCTAACGGTCTTCATCTTCTCACCCCTTAAACTCTCCAAAGTATAAATTCAACACTTGGCAGATTTCAAACTTTTTTCCACCTTCGCAACTTTCGAATTCCTCTGTACCCAAAATTCTCTCTGCAAAAAACCCTCACTTTTTCTGCGATTTCTCATCCGTTCTTTCGAACTTCCATTACTCGTTGATCCACGGTTATGAGTAAGTCTCTCCACACTTGAATTTGTATTCTTTGTAGTTCTATTTTGTGTATTCTTAGATTTTCAATGTTGGGTACCCTTGATTTGTCTGTTGAATCATTTCGAATTGGCGTGTCTTGTGTTGAATTTGTGCTCTGAATACTCTTGTCTGTCTGTTGGATGTTGCGGAATTTGCTTTTCCTCTGAAAATTTTTGAAATTTCCATCCTCGTACTTCTCAAATTCTTCTTCTGGTTTTGGGATTGCTCTTTCCAAAAACCCTAATCTTCCTTCTCCCCCCTTTCTTCCTTGCGGCGGCTTCTTTTTGATATTGTTCTCTTTGTTTTTATTTTTTTCAGACTCTGCGACTTCCTCTGATTCAGTTGAAATACTGCCTTCTGCACTCGAAGCCGTTCCTCTCTCTATACTTCGCCCCGGAGACACAGTTCCTACCCGTGTTTTCACAGCTCGAGTTTCTTCCCCCAATTCCGGAGACACTATGGATAATATCCCCCTCCGCCACCATCGACCTGCTCTTGGCGCGTTGGACGAGCCAGAGGAGGATGAGGTTATTTCTTCTCAGCCCACTGCTCCTCCATTTTCATCCATTCCGCCTTCTTTCTCCCCACCTAGATCTTCGAATTCTCCATCTAAATGATCCTCGACTAAAAAACTTTCCCAGCGCTCCTCTTCTACCTCCCTTTCTCACCCCTGGTTTAATCCTGAGAAAATCGGCCAACCTCTTGGTTGGGCATTCCTTAGGTCTTCTTCCTCTGACAAATATGATCGTCCTCCGCGTGATTGTTATACTTTTTTCGAGATCCAGTTCAAGCTCGGTCTTCGCTTCCCCCTATGTCCTGAGCTGCTTCGCATTTGCGATTGGTTCTCACTTCCCCTACATCAACTTCCTCCTAACGCTATCCGTTTTATGAATACCTTCATCATTCTCTGTCATGTCCGTTTAGGTCGATTCGACCTGGATTTCTTCCATTATTGCTATACCCCTCTAAACAAGATCGAGGCCTTTATTTGAAAAGTCGCAACGGCGCCCATTTTATTAATGATATTCCTTCTAATCTTCCCAAGTGGAGCGACAAATTCATTTTCGTTCGACCTGACGCCCCTTTTTCTTGGCCCTCGATCCCCTGGGTCAAGGAAGTTTCACAAGAGGCGGCTTCGGCCCCTCCTCCAAATCCTCTTTTCGACCAACGGGTCCATACTTGGAACTCCAAGACTGTTGCGTCGGAAATACTACTCATGGACGAGAATCTTCTCCACTACTGTGGTTTTCTCACCCATAAAACTTGTCCTCCTCCTACCGATAAGGTCCTCGATCTCATTCGGATTGAGAATGATCCAGGTACTAGTCGAGCAGATTAGTCAAGTGTTTATGTGTTTCTCTGTTTTGGTTCTGAGTGAATTTTGCTGATTATCAGATATGATCCGTGTTGTGATCTTCTTGCAGAGGTGTCCAGTTTCAACATACCCCCGAGGAAGACTCCTCTAAAAAAGAAGTTAGGGGTAGCCTCTGGCTCAACCGGGGGCCAGGTCGAGGGATCGACCACCTCCTCAGGGTCTCGACCAGATCCGCAACCGCGGTCGCCTCCACGAGAGACCCCCTTACCCCCGCCCCCGCCACCGGGGCCACAGCAACCTCAAAAACAACAGAAACAACTACCACAACAACAGCAGCAGCAGAAACAACCACATCAACAACAACAGCAGCCCTCCAAGACCCCGCAAGGGCGATCTTCCTTGCTCCCTCCTGAGAAGAACCCCCAGCACAAATCTGACTCCCAATCAACCTCCAAGTCCTCGACCTCCTCGAAAACCATCGACCACCAACACAAATCCGATGATCGCCTAAAAACCACTGACCGCCATCAGAAATCAGACGACCGCTCACAGAAGACAGGTCCTCGAGCTCCCCCTCCCAAAGACAACCTTCAAGGCAAAACTACCGATAAATCCTCCGAGCCCAACACCTCATCCAAAACCAAAATCCCTGACAAAGCTCCTCTTGACCAACATTCCTCCAAAACCACCTCCGCCGGATCGAGCAAAGCTCTGGTCGAGTCCGGCAAATCTAATGACACGGGACGCGAGTTGGCTCTGGGCAAGCACTCTCGCACCGAGCAGGGTGAGACGGTCATCAAGCGAGGACGCACTGGATATCTTCCTCCTGACCCTCTCGCCCCAAGGCCGACATCCTTACTATCGGCCTCTATAAATGAGGTTGCTGAATGCCTCGAGGGTGCCCTCCTCGAGGAGGACCGCAAGAAGGGGAGCGCCACGTTGCCCGAAATTGGCGACCAACTTGTGCAATGGCTTGCGCAGGTATCATTTACCTTACGTTTGCTTTACTATCTTTCTGCCACTCTTCTTCGACGCACATATTAAACTGTTTCGTGCTCTTCGGTTGTAAGGCTTGGTCCAATTCTTGCCTCTGGCTACGGAGGCCCGAGACAGCTCGGGGAAGTCGATAAAAAGCTTAGAGAGCAATATCTGCTACTTGCAGGATAAAAATTCGACTCTCCTGACTCATAACACCAAGCTCCGTGAGACGCAAAACGAGTAAAAATCCGAGTTCGAGGCCAAGATCAAGTCACTTGGCGTGGAGCTCTCGGACAAAAATAAGGCTCTCGCGGAGAGAGAAGCCGCCCTCACGGTAAAGGAGGTGGCTTTGGCGGAAAAAGAGACCGCCTTGAAGGAGAGGGAGGCTGCCCTCGAGCAAGCGAAGGCTGCTCGAGCCCAAGCAGAAGCTGCTCGAGCCCAGGCAGAGAGTGCTCGAGCGGAGGCGGAGGCCGCTCGAGCTGCGATGGAGGCCACCTTGGCCAAAGAATGGGTTGTCCACACCCAACAATGCAAACGCTATGCTGATGCCGCTGCTCTTCGAGCTCGACAAAGGATGTGGGGCACCACTACTGGACAGCTCTTTCTTCGAGAGTACCGCGATCAAGTGGTGGCCGATTACACACGATCACCACATTTTTTGAAGGAGGTGCAAGATTTTGGGGTGGACTGCTTTCAGTTCGCCCTTCAGAAGGCCGGCGAGCAGGTCGCCGAGGACGACTTCGAGCAGCTTGACCCTGGGGCTATCTGGGAGGCCTTGCCAAAGGTCCCCTCTAGCTTCCAGGGCGATCCCAACTTACCGCCTGAGCACGAGTGGTGGTCAGGGGTGCTCGAAAGGACTCTGGCTCGATCGGACATTTTGAAGAAGACTTATGCTCTGCCCGATGGCCTCACTCCTCCTGCCTCGATGCTGGCCATGCTGACCGAGTCTATTCGTTAACGCCCCCTCAATGAAGCTTGCGACTCGACCTCAGGGACCAGCCATCAGCCAGAACAGAACGCCAATCTGAGTAACGCTGACTCGACCACAGCTCCTCCTCCTTAGATTAGCTTTGTACTTTATGCTTTGTCCTTCTTGAATTCGAATTATGTACTTCAATGAACTTTGTAATACTCTTGAAATAGCAATATTTATTTTTGACTTGTCTCCATCTTCAGTAATGCTCTTTGGTAATTTGGCTTGATATTTTTGTCGTAACACTTCGATGGAAAAACCCAAGCGGACTTCAGGGTATGATTGATACAAACTTTTGAAATATGACCAACACGCTTTCATTAGTCGACCCATTCTTCGTTATTTAAACTATGTTTGTGTGTTTGCCTCACGATCACTTGAATAATTTAGTCTTAACATGCACACATACACACATGCCCACCCCTGGAAGTGGTCGAAACATTCGACCATCCGGATGTTAGAGGTATGCTGTAAAAGCTATGTTTTGTAGATTCTATCAATTCCATTTTAATCTGGCAATCATGTTTCGGTCAAAGTACAAATGTTTGCAGTTTATTTATTTATGCAATACATACTCCATGTCTTATATTGAGATAGTGTGTTTCGAAGAGGTTCGAACAGAAAGATCACCTATCGGTTCCTTATAAGACTAAACTATTCGTTCACAGTCTAGACTGGCAGTGAGACCCCACTAGGAAAAAGACTGTAGTGTATTCTCAATTCAGTTGGTCTTTGACTGAAGGATTACACTGGCACTTATGTTAAGTGTTGAACAGGAACGCGGGAGGCAAAGGTTATGAGACTCACTGACCGTTGTTGTAACCTCGCCCTTCAGTGATTGATGCGTTCTCTTAAGCTGTAATATAATATAAAATAGGTATATATTTTTATTTCTTATTTATTTGATTTACCAAGTGATTCCTATTCTGATAGGATGACATACGAGGTATTTTGGTAAGTAAGAATAATTATATGATGTGCTATTATAGATTATTTACAGTCACTATGTTCCAGTGCGCTGGATTGATGACGTCCCCGAAATGAGCTCAGAAAGGAACATTATGTTAAACCCCTGCAGGTAGACGATTGTCTGACATAATGGTTAAAGGCTGAGTGGTACTAATTTCGGAAATGAATAAGAGGTTGATTAATTACTTTGTCAGTAATTTAATTAATCAACGGACGTTATATCTTAAACATAGGGAGGTAAATCGATCAATCAGATTAATATTATTTAATCACGAAGGCTCGATTTTATTGGTTAAATAGTGCTAAATGGGGAGAGCAATAATATTACTCTAGTGGGATGTTTTATTATTTAATTCCATCAAATAGGAATTAATTTTATTCCATATTAATTAATTAATTAGGAGAATAAAAT